GAGAGAGAGAGAGAGAGAGAGAGAGAGAGAGAGACTGTGTGTGTGCGTGCATGTGTGTGTTGGCCAGTTTTTGGCCATTCATCAGCCTGTATCTGAATGTGCAAAGACTCAAGGGAAAACGGAAAAAGACTGGTAGTGGAGCACATCGCCACCTCAACAAATCCTCACCAGAATGAATGAGTGGGCCTCCAGCTCAAACTAACCTCATACTGTAGTGCGCAGCTGGTCTTAAACGAACCCTGACTGAAAAAAACTTGTGCACCTCAAGATCCACCTGAAGAATGAGAACAACTTTGGGGCATGGCACAAGAAACATGAAAACCATTGGAGCATGGCATGGGTCTGACGAAAAGGAAAACCAAAACTGGGCTGCATTGTGCCTCGACCAAACCAAGAAAAAAGAAATGCAGCTTGGTCCATGGACACCTCATGAAAGTAAAGCTGGGCCCACAGTGTCGCTTGGGACCTCTTTTGCTTGGGCACGGCCTGGACCCACAGTGCCACGTGTAACCACTTTTTCTTCGGCCTGATGGGCTGTGTCACATGCAGGCCGCTTTTTGCTCTAGCATCTGTAGTAGACACAGCGGCAACATTGCGTTCGGGGAGATGCCCTGGTGGTGGGTTGAGGTCCTGGCCACTGGTAGTTGAGTCCTTGGCGTCTTGTGTACAGACTTCAGGCACACACACAGACCTAATTCTTTGCCCTGCTTTAGAGCATGGGCTGTCTCTTTGATGAAGGAAGGTCTGTAGGTGGCCACACGTTTTTCTGGAGTTTTGGCCGCAGCATGTTCGTGAGGAGGCGCAGAGAGTGTGCTGTGGGTGTCATTCCCACAGTCTGCTCTTTCCGAGCTTCTAGGGTGTTTTAAGCAGTGGCGCTCCTGGTGTCGCCTTGAGATCTTGTGGAGTTTGGGATTATGGGACTCTATACACTCTAGGGGTTAGACAGCAAAGTGAAAGGGAGGTTGTTTCGCCATGGAGTGATGGAGATGATGGTGACGTGAGTTTGTCGCTCGGGATGAATAGGAGTGTCAAGGTTGTGTTGTACTTGCACAATTAATTTTGTGGCTTTGTGGACCGTCTCAGAGGGGCTCTCCAAGTTTTTTCAGATCAGTGGCGGATGTGGTCACTGCTTTCTTGCTGGTGGAACCTTCTGCGTTGTGGTACAACTAATTCTTTGTGTTTTCTGTGGTTGCAGTTTGTTAAGTATGTTGCCTTTTGCCCTCCATCCTTTTATGGAGTATGATACATGTATATATAGGGTTCAGCCTCGCCTCCTGATGAGTCGGTGAAACTCCAACGAAACAGTTTGTCACAGCCCCTCGTTTGTTGTCCTCTTCTCCCTCTCTGCCTACGGCTTACCGGGCCAGCTCTGTTTGACGATATATATCGTCAAACAGAACTGCCTGGTAAAGCGTAGGCGGAGAGCGAGAAGAGGACAACAAACTAGGGGCTGTGACAAACTGTTTCCTCAGAGTTTCACCGACTCATTAGGAGGCTGAATATATCATTTGTGCAAGTGTGCCGCTTCGGCAGCAGCCGGGTGTGTGGGCACTTGGCAGTTAACCACACAAACGTGGCCAACCTTGCATCTTATAGTATATTGCCTATCTATACCTTTTTTTGTTTGATGGCTGGATTGTGATGATTTGTGGATGGAATGAGTGTTTTTTTTTTTTTTTGGACAACACAGAGAGAGAGAGAGAGAGAGAGAGAGAGAGAGAGAGAGAGAGAGAGAGAGAGAGAGAGAGAGAGTTTTTGTAAAGTAGCACTACATTAATTGCTGAAATTGGAACGATACAGAGAAGACCCTAATCCCTGAGCCGATAATTTTGGGATTTGCATGGGTGCATGGCAACTTCTGACAATGCATACCGCAACGAATGGTGGATACAGGTCCATGTGGTGATGGATGCGATGAAGGAAAAAAGCCCTTCTGGCAAGCTTCCACTGCTGATGCTGCATAAACGGAGAGTGTATGGTGGACCTGGCGAGCAGGAAATGGCCAAAGCGGCGTTTCAGAGGTACAAGGATGCAAATGTGTTGTATCCAACTCCCACTGGCTCTAATGATGACTGGTGAGTATCCATCCATTCATGTCCCCAAATCTGTTCTCTCCTTCCTCCCTCCCTTCCTCCCTCCCTCCCGCCCTCCCTCCTTCCCTCCCATCCCATCCCCATCCCATTCCATCACATCCATCCATCTGTTATTTTGATGCTCACAAGCAGAATTGTGAGCTCTACACTGTGTCATTCAGTTTCGGTAGGGCAGCACAAGGAGTTTCACATCAGGCTGGGCAGGGTGATTATCATTTCAATGGGCTTGGTGTTCCGTGTATGATGAGCATATAGTCACTGAGTCCCAGCCCTCTCGTGTCAATTGGATGTAGCTGGCAGAGAGCGTGGAGGTGTGAGCTGTGTCTAGGTGTTCACGTGATGCTGTGTGGAAGTTGTTCTCATGGGGTCTCTGCACGGAGGTGGGAGACAGTCCCCCAGCTCCCGTGAAGGCTGCATGGGATTTAGTGCAGAGTGTGGATGCACTGAAGGCTTCTATGCCTGGGTGTAGTTGCTGTAGTGTCAGGTGTGCTGTTGGTTTGCCTTCTCAGCTGTGCGTTCTGATGTGCGTTTTTCTCCGGTGTTCTGCCCTGATATGCATCAGTGCAGGGCTGAAATCTGTTTTTTTGGTGTTTAACCGATTTCAGTTGTGAGTCTTGCGATTTATTTTCGTGTTTTTGATTCACGGGCGTTTCCGGGAATGCCCCGGTTTTTAGCTGGCTTTGTGCCAGTGGGTGTATGTGATCTCTGAAGCAGGTTTTGCAGAATCATCGATCTAGCTGGGTTACCAACTTGGGCCATATGAGCCACCTTGACTGCCCAGGCGGCCTGGCCGCTTAAGGGCAAGATCGCTGCAAGAAAAAAAAACAAAAAAACTCAAATAGTTCTGAAAAATAAACTATATTATGCAGAATAAAAACTAAACAACGTTTGCCTCGGGGTCACACCAAGATTCTCTTGTAACGGGATACCTTGCCTGCCCAGGCGGTCCCTGCAAGAAGGGGAGAAAAAATCAAAGAGTTCTGAAAAATGAACTGTGTTATGCAGAATAATAACTGAAATTTTGCCTCAGCGTCGCATGAAAATTCTCTTGCAAATTGAAAAAAAAAAAAATAATAATACGATTTCTGTTTTTTCCCCTCTGGGCCCGGCCGACCAAGTTGTCCCTGGCGCTTTTGTTGGCCTGGGGATCTAGTCTTTTATTCACTCCAGTTTGCAATTTGAATATTGCTCTAGAAAGAAAACCACAAGCATTGCGTTCATGGCCGTGGATGCAGTTTAGTGGATGTGTTTGTGAGGGTTACGATGGCGTGATATAACAGTGGGTAGAGCGGAAAACTCTCTGGTGTGACGAATGCATGTGTGCTGTTTCGTCATGGCTCTTTAGGTGCTTTCTGTCTTATGCCATGAGTACCTGGGAGGACTTCCTTTTCCCACACGGTGGGGACAATAGGCCTGGCTTTCCCCCTCCCAGTTCGACAGAAGATGCTATTCTGCTGGGTCTCGCAGGTAGTGGTGGTGTAATGCTGACGTCACAGTTGCTGTTTTTTTTCTGTCAAGTTGTCGACTGCCTTCTGGTGCGAAAACTTTCCCACTGGGTAATGTAAATAGATTGGCTCAGTGGCTGGTGTTCTGAAACTGAAAACTAAGCATGCAGCAGCAGTAGTTCACATAACCCATATGGTTCAGCCTCCTGATGAGTCGGTGAAATTCCGATGGAACAGTTTGTCACAGCCCCTCGTTTGTTGTCTTCTTGTCCCTCTCTGCCTAAGGTTTACTGGGCAGCTCTGTTTGACGATATATATATCGTCACAAATAGAACTGCCCGGTAAACCGTAGGCAGAGAGAGAGAAGAGGACAACAAACGAGGGGCTGTGACAAACTGTTTCGTCGGAGTTTCACCGACTCATCAGGAGGCTGAATATAAAAATAT